CGGTCCAGATTCGTTCTCATTTCTCTCCTAAGATGCGTTCTTACCGGAACCGCTCCCTATATATATATATATATATATATATATATATATATATATCCCTATATATATATATGCTATTTTAGCTATTTTTCGTGAAGTATATACCTTTATAAATCAGCACATATAGACAATTCCATTGAAATTTGATAAAATTTGACAAAATTAGTCTATTATATTATAATAGAAATATAAAATATTTTATATTTGTATATTAGAGCACCATTAAAATATTTACTTTTTATATTAGTGAACCTTATATTTTTATTGATCTCTATTTACGATACTTTTCATTCAATCTCGTATATTGTCATGTGAAGGTTTTATATTACATTGAATGTGAGCCATCGATATTTAAATATGTACGGGATATTATCATGTCAAGGCCTTATTTTTGGGTCCCTATTTCCTGATGAAAATATTGAATACTCTATTTTTAAGTTGATGCAAATGTTAACATATAAAATCAACATATAATGTGCATACTTTAAAAAAATCATTGGGCATTTTGTTCATTCGCGCATCGCACGTGTAGAAAACTAGTTATATATATAATTATTATATATAAATATGTATATATACATACACAAAGGCTCGTGAACTGACTCGTGAACCACGAGCCTAAAATAAAATGGCTTGAATGGAGCTTGTTAAATATTCGAGCCAAGCTGAACTCGAGTCGAGCTAAAATACGATGATCTCGAGGCGAGTTTTTACCGAGCGATCCATGAGCAGCTCGCGAACATCTTGCCTCATTTACACCCATATTCCCAATTGGTGATTGCTAGAGTTCAAGATCCGCAAGTTGGAATTATCTAAATACGGAGTATTTTATAAAAATGCTAAGTGTGCACAAAATGTCTACACCTTTGACACACCATATAAATATTCTCCCTCTTTCCTGTGAGAATAATAAACAGACTTAACCAAACTGGTAGTCCTGAGAGTATATTTATAATGAATAAGTTGTCTAATACAATTAGAAAACTGACTAATAATTAATTCTACACTACTACACCCCCTCAATCTATGCAAGAGGAACTACGCGTAGATTGTCTCGTAAAAATAAAAACTATTGAGGAGCCAAACTCTTGGTAAAAATATCAGTCAGCTGAAACTTTGTAGAAACATACTGTACTAGGACATCACCATGAGCCACATGTTCCCGATCAAAGTGATAATATGTCAATGTGCTTGCTCGGAGCATGTTGGATGGGATTTGCAGATAAATATGATGCAGATACATTATCACATAATAGACGAACAGGGCAATAAATAGGAAAGCCGAGCTCGAACAAAATAGATCGAATGTGTACTGTATCCTAAACCGTGTATGCAATGGCTCGGTACTCAGCTTTAGTAGATGATTTGGAGACAGTAGGTTGTTTCTTGGACCGCCAGGAAATCAATTTAGGACCAAGAAAAACAACATAACCAGATGTAGAACGACTACTATCAGGACAAACAGCCCAATCAGCATCAGAATATGCCAGAATCGAATGTGGATGTGTGGAAGGCTGGAGATGTAAACCATGTGTGATCGTGCCTTGTAGATACCTGAAAATTCGCTTAACAGCCAACATATGTGAAGTACGAGGAGCATGCATAAATTGAGACACCAAGTGAACATCATATGTAATATTTGGTCTAGTCATAGTTAAATACTGCAATGCACCTACCATGCTACGATACTCTGTATCATTAGCAAGTAACTCACCATCGGTGAGAGACATCTTAGTTCTACTAGGTAATGGCGTGCGAACAAACTTAAAAGTGTGAAGATGAAAGCGGGTAAGAAGATCTGAGACATATTTAGCCTGAGATAAAAATAAACCAGAAGAATCTTGCACAATTTGAACCCCCAAGAAAAAATGAATATCCCATAAATCTTTCATAGAAAAATATTTCCCTAAAAGAGAAATAAAATTACTAATAAGATTAGAGGAATTTCCAATAATAATAATGTCATCCACATATAGTAATAAATAAATGATTCGAAACGGTAAGGGTGGTCCCCTTTGTAAGGGTGGTCCGGAAACGGTACCACACCTATTTTTTACTTGTGCTTTTTCAGGTAAAGTTTGGCATAGAGTCAGGACGTGCCTGGACATTCCTAGGGAGATGGGGACCATGCTGAGCTCGTTGAAATGGATCAAGAGGAAGAGACAAGGCTCGGGGATCAAAGCTAAGGCGGCCAGGATTGCTTTTTGCTACTCCATCTACTGGATCCGGAGGACCCGGAATGCTACATGCTTTGATGGCCTTGTTCCCAAAGAAGAAGACGTTTTTGCGAGGATTCAATACATTGTTTACAAGATTTTGTATAGTCTTTATCCCCATGAACTTGTAAAGCTGTGACGTGTTTTGCCTAATCTCCTCTTTGTTTGGGTTGGGTGTTTCTTGTGGCTGTTTTTTGGGCTTGTTTGTGCTCCACCACCGCTTCGTTTTGGTGTGGGGCGTTGCTTGTTTTTAGTTCTTTTGTTAGGTTTGGTTTATCCATGTTGGATAACCTCCGGTTTTGTTTCCCTTTTTGTTTGTACATTCTGAACCTCTATTTTCTTGGGTGGCTCCTTTAATATACTTACAGGTTATCCAAAAAAAATGATTCGAGTAGCCTTACGAAAAATAAACAAAGTATTATCAGCATGACTACACACAAATCCATGAGTCAAAATAAAACTACTGAATCGATGAAACCACACCCGGGGAGCCTGTTTGAGACCATAAATGGCCTTGTGCAAAAGACAAATATGATTAGGAAATCGAGGATGAATAAACCCGGGTGGTTGACGCATATAAACTTCTTCTGTGAGATGACCATGAAGAAAAGCATTTTTAACGTCCAACCAACGAATAGGCCAATTATATGAAATAGCTGAGGTCAGAACGATGCAAACAGTGGCAGGTTTAACAACAGGACTAAAGGTTTCACAAAAATCAACCCCAACTTGCTGTTTAAACCCTTGGGCAACAAGACATGCTTTGTGACGTTCTATAGACCCATCAGAAACATATTTAGTTTTATAAATCCATTTAGACTCAACCACATTTTTGCTAGAGTCAAATGGCATTAATTCACATGTTTTATTATCAATAAATGCATTAAATTCCTCAGTCATTGCAGCTCTCCATTTAAGATCTTTATTAGCCATAGAAAAGCAAGTCGGATCAGGAACCAATATTTAAATTAAAAATTGTTATGGGTTTAAAAATTTCTGATTTAGACCGTGTTTGCATGAGATGAATATTTTTAATTAATGGAGCACCGGAGACATGAACATCACCGACCTCGTCGTCGGTATGGGACGAGGAGCCCGTCTCGGCCGAACTGACTGGGACAGCAGCAGCCGCTGTCACGCTGCCAGACCAAGTGTCGGTTCTGGAGGTTTTCGGCGAAGTAGGCTGCTGGCCGAATGAGTCCGTTGTCGGCGGGGAGTCCACAGGTGGTGGTGAGGCACACGTTTCCGAGTAAGATTCCTCCGGGGGCAGTGATGAAGCAATAGCGGAGGGCGACAGTGTGGAGGAACGAAAAAATGACAGAGGACATGGCTGCAAAGAGGGAGACTCAGGACAACGAGAAGACACTAACTGGGAATAAGGAAAAATATTTTCATGAAACCGGACATGACGACTAATGTAAATTCTACCCGTCCTAGGATCAAGACAACGATACCCCTTATATTCAGAAGCATATCCTAGAAAAACACACTGAACTGAGCGAGGAGAGAGTTTATTAGCTGAAGTGACAGTAAAATTAGGATAACAAACACATCCAAACACACGCATAAAAGAGAAGTCAAGTGTCTGGTGAAATAATTTTTTATTTGGAGAAAAACCAGTGAATTTGGTGGAAGGCAAGCGATTAATAATATAAGTATCGGTCAAAATAGCCTCAACCCAAAAACTAAAGGAACTATACATGGCCGAAACATCATTCACAACAAAGGAAATGATGAGTGCCCTTGATACCAACTGAGTTCCTAGTGAGGTAAAAGTCTAGAGGGGGGGGTGAATAGACTTGTAAATCTTTTCGGTTTTCAACCCTTTTCCTCTAACTGAATATGTTTCAACATCTTTTGGGAGATATTGAAACATGCAACAGAAGTCTTGATCTCATGAGGGTTACACTATATATAAACAAAGGTTATGATCCTTTATTTAGTTGTGAGAGAGATGGACTAAACATGGTACAAATGTGTTTGCCAGAAACAGTCGACTCAAGGAGCAGGCTGCCGAAATCCTGAAGGAGATGGTTGTCAGTCAGTTTGGGAGCTGACTGCCAATCCTTAGGAGCAGGCTGTCGAAATGATGTTTCTCCTTATTTTAGTTAAGGTATAACAATGAACTATACCCTAACTTATTGGTTGGATTTAGAACTAGTCTAACAAATAAATATGAAGGATTTAGACCAATGGAAATAGGTCACTTTGAAGAACAGATAACAAGGAGATGACTCACAGTGAACTGGAAAAGTTCAATGGACAGTTTTAGTGAACAAGATGTTTTGTTGTGTAGTGATGAAGGTGGGTGAGTACTGAATTTATGTTAGGAGCAGAATGTAAAAGGTGACACAAGATATATCCTGGTTCAGAGGTGGTGTAATCCTCATACATCCAATCCCAACCTATTTCAGATGAATTTCCACTAAATGAATATCCCATTACATTTAGTGCCCCAACCTACCTTTGGCCCAGGCGTAGGTTGTGAGGTTTTTCACAAGGAACTTAAACACCGTTCCAAGCTACTCAGTCCTCCCAAGGTTTTTCACTAATGGCATTGACTTGCCAAGAGCTACTCATGTCCTTGACATTTCTCACCTTCTGGATTTGATCACAAAGCCCTCCAGAATGTCTAACATTAGTCTAGAATACATGGGTGTATTGCTAAATTACCAACTAATCTAAACTCTATAGATTTGTATGAATTGTAGCTAGTCTAAGAGCATTAGACGAGTGGGGTGGCATGTAACACCCCCATTTTCCCTCCCAAAATAATACTTGAAATAATAGATTTGTTGATAATAAACTTTATTTATTCATTCAAAATAGGTAAAAAGTTCTGCAGCGGAAATAACATTAATTGGGAAATGGGTGTTACCGCCACATCCGGTCATCTCTTAACCGAATGCACAGGCAATCCCAAAACAAAACAGAATAAAACAAGTGTTCAACATAATTAAATTATAATTCTTGACTAGGTTTGACTAAGGCATCTCTAAACCGCTCTCGTGGTCATACAATCATCAGTCCACATAAGCATCATCACCTGCACAAATAAAGTGCAGAAAACAAAACAAAGAAAAGGAAACAAAAATTAGCTTTAGAGCTAAGTAAGTACTACCCAACCCCGTAAAATAATCAGGTTTGACTAAAAATAGTTTTTCATATAATACTATATAAAAATGACACACTCCACCAAAATTCTTTTCTCTTTGATATTTCTCAAAGTCACTTCTTTAATAAAGTCCTCAAAAAATTCTATAGTAACTCTTCTCTCAGAATTTCTCAAAATTCACTTCTTCTCTATCTTCCTAGTAATTTAGAAGGGCGGTGCTCAACACTCTGGTTGAGCCCGGTGGTTACGTTGTTATGTACGGCCACTCCGGGACTTTTGCCGGTACCACAACTGCTAATGGAAACGAAACGACTACCTTAAGTGTGCACACCTCCTAAGAGGGATTCCAAGCCCTCCGAGTAGTAAGTCGTCACGAGTAATCGGGACTCAGTCTACCAACTACCCCACCTTTAAAATTCTTGAATGATTAGGGACTACTACTATAACTTCTTCTTAAAAGGGATCATAGACCCAAATGTCACTTCAAACTCAAATTGTACTTCTTAGTAGTAGCAGCCTTAATCACCCTCCACATTTATCCGGATGTGGAAAACCGACACCACGGATTTCTCCCGGGTGCTCACTTCTTATGAAAACGTAAATTTTATCTTGACTTTAAATATACTTCCAAAAATTATTTCCCAATCTCTCTAAATAGTCTCAAAGGTATTTAAAAATATTTAATACCCAAAAGTACTTCGTTTGCACTTCTCAAATACCATAGATCTAATATCTCCTCAAAATCACATACACATAATTCAAAATTCACACTTAATCACAAAATGCATAATAAACATATAATACGAGGAAACAATTTTGGATCGGCAGAGAAACTTACCTCGAATCGTGGCACTTTTATTCAACTTTTTATTTCGGTCTTCACCGCAATCTCCTTTTAACTATTAAAATTTCAAAATTAGTATTTTATTATATATTTTTCATTTGCTCCAATTTCTCCTACTCAATTGGTTTCATTACTATCATTATTACGGTGTATTATTATCTCCACCCAAATATTAAGTATCCTTGACCAGCCCAAATAATAACCAATTCAGAGACAGTTTCCACTAATCTAGACAACCCATGTTTATTAGATTAATAAAGAGATATTTACCTAAATAGGAGTAAATAAATCATCAATTGCTAAAATAGGACTAAACTTTAAAATTTTCCCAAATAGGAGTTATTATTTGGAGTTGGACAAAAATGCCCTGAAACTTAACAAAACATACTGCCGACACAACGCCGGACCGCCTACGATCGCCGGACCTCCGCCGGCCGCCGGCCGCCGCTGACGGCCGCTGCTGCAGAATGATCGTCGCTGCATATTTGGCCGCGTCCGCCGCAGATCTGGCCACATCCGCCGTAGATCTGGATGCCGCCACCGTAGATCTAGCCACATCTGACCGCCGCTGCCAGCCCTCAGCCGCCCCTACAGATTTTGGCTGCTGCCACTCCAATCCTTCCTCCGCCGCTGCACACCCGACCTCCACCTCTGCAGATCCGGCCAACGTCACCGATCAGCCAAAATTTTATCAAAATGCCATCATAAATTGAGAATGCCATCTAATTGGCATTTTCAAAGGAAAACATGAAATTTTTGAAGAAAATGAATGCCATTTTTTTGGCATTTTCAGATCAGATTTGGAATTTTTTTTAATAACCAAATATGAAACAGGGCTTTGGTCTTGCGACGAGAAGATGAAGCAAAATAGGGGGACTTACAGACGAAATCGGTTTTTTCCGATCAGATCGCCGTCGGCCTGTTCATCATGTTTCATCGTCTCACGTCGTCCAGATCTCCAGCAATTTGCTGTTGAAGCTTCTGCGAAACTGAAGATAAAGAGAAGAGACAGTGTTTTGTGGAAGTTGGCTGGAGCGAACAATTCATTAAGGGTAAAATAGGAAGAAAACGGAAATTCTGTCCTATTTAGGTTTAAAACCAAAAGCAGTCCCACGTATGCACTTTCCATCTTCTGTAGTCCCATTTACAACCATTTTCCCATTAATAAAAGGTGTGAATCCATGTGAAAACGCATACGTACTAGTACTCGTGTAAAAGAGCAGAAGTACGGACATATACCATATGCATTCACCGTTTTCTTTCAACGGGAAGAGGGGTACGGTCCTAGCTGCGACGAAGACGGCGAACTCCACGCCTCCACCACTCCCGGCGCAGGTACCGGCGGACTAGGGCGGCGGTAGGTTGACGTCACCGACTTGGTCCATCGAAAACAACCCAGTTTCCTCCGGCTTGACTTACTGGCAAGCTTCTCCTTTTCTGGCGGGTCCTTCTCCGGTGTGACGTTAGGAGACAGAACAGTTCAGCTCCCCGGTACGGCGACGACGCAGGTACGATTGAGATATCTGGTACGGGACGACGCAGGATACGCAGGGGTGGCACCAGCGTTCTCCCCATGTGCTTCTTCTCTGACGACGTCGAGAGGGAGGCTGGGATAGTAATTAGTTCCATGATGCAGAAGCCCCTCCCATTGTAATGGCCGCATGGTCAAAGATTATTCTCCGGTGAGCCGTTGTGTTGGGCGGCGGCGACTCCGTCTGGCCTTTGTTCAAACGAACGAGTACATATAGCTAGGTAATTAGCTTAGACACGTAGTGTCGTAGTGGCTTGTTGAATAATTGTGCGTGTGGGTTTCCATTGCAAAGTTCGAATAATCCTGTTATATGTATTGGCTTACAGGCTCATCGGCCACAAACACACCATGTGCCGATTACTATCATGTGAGTACATTCACTCAGCATGTGCTTATGTTCCTTGGTTGTTGATCTCACACGTATGTAGTACATTGCATGTGTACATTATTGTTACTCCTTGTACTAACGTGATCCTATATGGTTAGTACGCATGCATGTGAATGTGTTGGACGTACACTTCTTTATATCATTCTCCAATATTATTAATTACCATCTATTATTACCTACGCATTATTGTGTGTGTAAGTATATGTATCCACGGTTGGAAAAAGTCAACTCTTTTTAACACCTTTTTTTTGTATGGTATTTAGTGTATTTTCGGTGCACATATTTATAATTAATACCCTTCAATTAAAATTGTTAAAATGTCACTTTTATTAACGAAACATTTTTATCAGATTAAAAATGTCACCGATGTTAAAATTTTATGTCATTCACTTAATTATTAAATTGCCACTTTCGTAACATTTTATCTGACTGATATAATTTATATTTATTATTATATTTTTTTAAATTTTCGGGGTGTCACATGGCAGCCGAAGTGTAGAAGGGAAATCAGCTGGCAGGATTTCATCGTGTAGAGTATGATTTCCTTCTATCCACTTGACTCCTCTCGTTTTACCACACTTGGTAATCCCACACTCCCATATTTATAGACTTGATCATTGCATCTCCACCGTTGGCTGAGGAAATGAATCTTGACCGTAGCTTGATCTACTTTCTTTGTTCCACTTGACTGAGGCAGCATGATTTGTCTTTGTCACGTAGTGACACGGATCAACAATCTTCAGCTCAACTTGTTTACACATTTCAATGCAAGATAAAACATATTTTATCTTTATTTTCACGCTTAGAAACTAGTATAAAGCTGAATAATATTTCAATGATTCCTTACAAAATAACGAACACTTGCTTTTAGTAAAATAAATTTATTAGAAATTTATAATATGATTAAAATCTCTTATAAATTTACTTTTCATCAAATTGTTATTTTGAATTGACTGCAAGTTGGTCTTTTGTCTAAATGTTTTTGTGCTGAGAGAAGAGAGAATTGGATTTCGGATGAGTTTACTGAAAACCCAATTTTCAGCTGGCTCCCAGAAAATCAGCTGACTGCCGATTTCTGGTAATTTTCAGCTAGCTCATTCCTTAACAATGAATACCAGTTAACTCTTTTTGTACATTTTCTTTTTTATCTTTTCTTTTTGTTTTATGGTACGTTTACTTCTCTTGTAATACTCTTTGCTTTTTATGAGTACTTTACCACTAAATATGGACCACATTTCAAATAAACAAAGTAGAACAAAACTAGTAAACTAGTCTAATACATGGATAATAAAAAAAAGGGTGGCATCATCAAAACTATTGCATTAATCATCAAAATCTAGGGGACCTAACAAGAAATATTGCCCGAAGGCTAGTCAACACAACACTTAGCCAAAAAATAGAACACTTCATTTATGTTAAGAGTCAATTACATGGTGCGACCCAAGCTGAGGCTAAATCTACTGTTACATCTAAGAAAAAGAAAAAGAAGGGGAGGGGGGGGGGGGGGGTACAAAGCACAAACTCAACGCTCACTGAAGGAATCGGGATTCGGCTGGATATCTTGGTGACCCCCAATCTCCTTGCCGCCCTCGGCTTGTTTTGAAGTGGCGTCATCTTCTTCATTGTCTTTCAAGTCGCATTCTCTCATTAGCTCGGAATCATACAACATCGCCTCTCCTCACCCGAGGGCAACATCTTCCTCACATCTGGCTGCAAATGGGGCAAGTCATAAGCCAAAATCACTGAAGGCATTCTTCAGCTTCCGGTAAATAAGCCTCTGGGTAAAGAACTCCCCGCCTTGGTCGTACGAGTTACCTCTCTTTGCCAACCACCCTTGTAAGGGTCCTCGACCTAATTGTCAATGCATTCTTCAATCAGGGAGGCCAGCCACTCTTTCAGCTCATCGACTTTACACCCCTCGACAATGAAGGCATCAACAAAATCTTTCATAGCCTCGGAAATGACCTCATTCTTTGCCTTCTCGACGGCTTGGGCAGCGTCAATAACAGCTTTCTTCGCCACCTCAACAGGATCATAATCCCCCCGGACTTGGCGGCCTCCAGCTTCGTGTCAGGGTCAGAGGTGGCTAACCAAATATTCTCCTCCGCATCGGAGAGCTTCTTCCGAAGGATGGAGACCTCGTCGCCTTTAATCTTCAATGCCTTTTTAACCTTGTCTTTATCAGCCCTTAACAGTTACATCCTCATGAAATACTCGCACATGCCCATGTAGATCTGCATGAAAATGAGAGGGTTAATCCCTTCAGTATCACATATACCATATACAACACCCAAAAAGAAAAAAAATCAAGGGTCCAAACGAGATATATATGGAGGCACTGTCATAGAAGACTTTGGCTTAGAGCACGTCATCAGCATAACGCTCCATTAGAAGTTGATGGTCCCAAGTGAGGTAAAAAAAAGTCTAGAGGGGGGGGGGGGGGGTGAATAGACTTTTAAAATTTTTTCCTTTTCAACCCTCTTTCCTCTAACAAAATGAGTTCCAATATCTTTTGAGAGATATTGAAACCTACAACGGAAATCTTAACCTCAATAGTGTGACACTTTATAGTAACAAGGGTTATGACCCGTTTAGTTATGAGAGAGATGGAGTAAACAGGCTACAAATGTGTTTGCCAGAATCAGCTGACTCATGGAGTAGGCTGCTGAAACCTGAAGGACAAACTGCCAGATTACTGGGAGCTGGCAGCCGAACTATTTAGGAGCAGGCTATTGAATGTGAGACTACTGCTTCAATGGTTAAGAAACAAGAAGGAACTGTAATCTAACACATTGATAGGCTTTTAAAACAGGCTTAACACATAAGTATGAAGGATTTAAACCTATAAAGATAGATCACTCTGATGCACATAAACAAGAAGTTTGATTCACAGTGAACTGGAAAGTTCACTGGGAAGTTTAGTGAGCAAGCTATTTTCTTGGGAAGTCATGAAGGTGAGTGAGATCTGTAGTGTGTATTGGGAGCTGAATATAAAAGGTGACACAAGATATATCCTGGTTCAGAGGTGGTGTAATCCTCCTACATCTAGTCCCAACCTTTTTTTTCATGTGGATTTCCACTAAATGAATATCCCATTATATTTAGTGTTCAATCTATCCTTGGCCCAGGCATATGTTGTGAGGTTTTTCACAAGGAGTATGAACACCATTCCAAGCTACTCAGTCCTCCAAGGGTTTTCACTAATGGCATTGACTTGCCAGAAGCTACTCATGTCCTTGTCCTTCTCACCTTCTGGATTTGAACACAAAGCCCTCCAGAATGTCTAACATAAGTCTAGTTTACATGGGTGAAAACTAAACTACCAACTAATCTAAGCTCTATAGATGTGTATGAATTTGAGCTAGTAAAAAAGCATTAGATGAGTGGGGTGGAAACCAAAATGGTGAAGGGGAATCAACACTTGTATTTGCTAGATGTGTTTGAGTGGCTCTTGACTCCCTTCTATTCCACTTGGCTTCTCCACTTGTTCTTCCCACACTCCTTCTGTATTTATAGAATGTTGTTAAAGCCCGACCGTTGGCTGAGGAGTTTCAATCTCGACCGTTGCTTGATCCACTTGCTTTGTTCCACTTGACTGAGGAGAGCATGGATGGTCTTTGTCCTCTTGTGACATAGACTGACTTGCACTCAAGCAGGTATTACTCATTTCAATGTAAAGATAAAGATGCAATATCCTTAATCTTTTTGTTCGAAGAAATGAGTATAAAAGCTGAGTGTTGTTCAATGCTTCCTTACAATAAAATCAATTGCTTTCAGTAAAATAAGTTTATAAGAAAATTTTCATAATGTGGTAAAAATTTCTTATAAAATTACTTTCTATCTTTTTGTCATTTGACTGCAAGTTGGTCTTTTGTTTAATTGTTTTTGTGCTAGGAGAAGATAGTAGATTCCGGTGGCCTGACCGGGAAACTAATGTAGGAGCCAGCTGAAATGTTTTTAGTAGGCTACAACTTTGGTGTTTCCAGATGTCTGCCGATTTCACAAAGGATTCCAGTTGACTCTTTTCGTACTTTTTCTTTTTTATTCTTTTCTCTTTGTTTTTGGTACGTTTCTTCTCTTTTGAGTACTCTTTTGTTTTTCTTGAGTACTTTCTTTTTCAATGATAATTAACACATTACAATAAACATAGTAGAAGATAAACAAAGATCTAGTCTAATACATGGATAATAAAAGGGGGTTTGACATCATCAAAACTACATATATATTAATCAGCAAGATCTAGGGGACCTAACAGAAGCCTATCATTGGATGACATCATCCCCCGCATGAAAGTTGTAACACCGTCCCCAAATGTATTTACTTTTAAGTGAATAATGTATTGAACCTTATGGAATGGTTAATGAGTATACGAAGTTGTGAATTTTTATTAACTCTTTTGCGTGAATAGTAAATTCGCACGTGGGGCCCACACCGGGAGCGGGGGCAGCCCGAAATTCCCGAAACCATATATTTTATTTATCTTGGTCAAGATAACATTTATATAGTGGTGGATATTTCATTTGGTCTGTGGAAAGGCCCAGAGTTGACCGATTGGTCAAAGGAGGTCCAAATACCGGTATCGGTAATTTAACAGATAACAGCCCGAAATGAATTTCAGAGGCTTATAAATTAAAGTTGGGGAATGTATATTCATTATAAGGGTCATAATGATTGGAAACACATAATATATCTTATTTGACCCGATGAAATAAAATATATTTAAAACAGTTCGAAAAATACAACTTTCGGGATCGATTGTACACTTCTGGACAAAAAGGGTTGACCTTCCCGAGTGGGGGCCAACCCACGATTTTGGCCACTCAAATGGAGTGTTGGCCGGCTGGTAAGATGGGGAACATGGGGAGGGGATTATGAAGTGAGGGA